GGGGCCTTAAGTGGTGCGCCGCTCCAAGTCCCGCGGCTTGGGATACCGATTTCTATCCCTGAACAGCAGCCCCTTGTGACAATGGGGTTTACGCTAGATGCTGTTCATCACACTAAAGTGTGCAAAAATATAGAATTTATTATTCCCCGGCAATCTGAACCCAAGGAATGGATGCGAACCATGAGATATTCTATACACAATAAAGACCAGCTATCTTGAATGCGGCTATTACGATAAATCCAAAATGGAAAAACGAAATTCTGGTTGGGAAATACTAATTGAGGAAACACTAGAGAAGTAGATAATTTTATGCAAAAATAATGCTTCCACCTAACAAGTTATTTCTGTAAAATCAATCTTCACGGCTCTTTTACCAGATTCTAATTAGGATTGCTGTTATTATTCATATAACTTAACTTAGTTTTTTAAAGCACGAAAGGCTATATATTACCTCTCGTAATTCCACCTATAGCTTGCGCGTAAACCATGATATATATATACCTGTCTGAGGACAGACTGAGTGCCAAGCAGATCATGGTACAATAATCTTTATAAAAAGGAAAACGTTTCTTGATTGGCTTGTGGACTGAATACTGCAAGGTTGCCCAGGCCAAGGTAGGTGAATTTTCTTGAGGAATCCACAACCGGAGCCTCCGGCTAACCAAAGCCTGACCCACAAGGAAGCGGGGTGGTGTGTGAAAACCGTAATCCATTGGGGGCCGGTGTCCAGTTCATCAGATTATACGCCTTTGAACGGGGTCAAACGTCCAAGGTGCTCAATGCACCTCAATGCCGGTGACCGGGGAGATTTGTGTGCCTGGTTCGTACGCCTCCTCTTGGTTAGTTTGCAATCAGGATTTTTGGCCAACTACCCTAGATGAACTACCGGTGGTTCAACAACCTTGTTATGGCCCCGGATGTCTTCTTTTCGTCCTCTCACTTTCGTGCAAAAACCACCTCCACCACGAGAAGGCAGTGGGTAGGACCTCCTCAGCAGAGGCTATTTGAGACGCCTGGTCGTATGAGAGCATTTAACGAGGTACAAAGAAGGGTGACCAGCCGCAACCCTAGACACCCACCCCCGCCCATACCGAGGCGTTCGGAGGCTGTAAATCCACAATGAAATCATTTTTTTAAAAGTAGTAGTTTCTGAATCCAGCTTTACCGAGACTACATTGTTCTATTCACGTTTAGAACAATCTGGCTCTGTGCAAGTAAAGTCCACTTCTCAGTTTGTGAGTAGGAGAATGCATAAGTAGATAAAAAAAAATGCGGTGGTAGGGATAACTGGGCCATACGTAATTTCCACTAGTGGGGAGGGATTCCACAGTATCGTAAGCTTCAAAAGCACCCTACCTGACGTATTTGAGCCACTCTGAAGTTTATGTTGCAGTCAATCTGATTTTTCGTCACCTATAGTTGTCGAGCAACAGATGTTGTAGGGTTTCGCATATGCTATTGTCGAGGTCATTTTAACTGTGTTTGCGTACCATTTATCCAAACTGGAAGTACGCGGTATCAAACCGTGCTTCAAATGGGCATAAGTGAACATTGGCAATCGTGCTTCAACCATGTTATGGGTATGGGTTGTAGCCATTCCACAGGGTATTGCAAGATGAATTTATTCAAGCTTCGCTATTGATGTATTATTTTTCTACTAACTACTACCTACTCTAAGCTGCGTTTTCCAGTTTGATGATCATGCATGGGTTCTGAAACAAATCCATTTAATGATAATGTGCCTATATTAAA